GACCTTGATTTGTGACCTTGACACTGGGGTCATGAAAGGATTTTGCAACACTTTGTCTAGTGATGATGCATATGTATATGAAGTTTTGGTAAATTATCTTGAGCGGATCAGAAGTTCTGGTCTGGAAAAGAGGAAGTTTACGGATGGAGACTACACTCTAATACAGTAGTCCCAACCCAGATCCTTGAGGAACACCACCCTACATGTTTTAGTTGTTTTCTTGCTCCAACGCACGTGATTCAGTGATTTAATTCCTTCCTCATGTTCTGCAGAAGCCTGTTAACCACCCATTCATTCAAATCAGATGTGTCAAAGCAGGGAAACAACTAAAGCATGCAGCATGGAGTTCCTCAAGGACCAGTGTTGGGAACCATTGCTTTGATTTTACTGTGATAATTTGACGGGCGTACGATGAAAATAAAAAATAAACGTTAAGCGATGATGATATGACTTCATGTGATAAACTGCTCACATTCCAAAAACAGAGACCAAAAACATGCATGTTAGACTGCCTTCAGCCCAGGCCTCCTTTGCAAAAGAGATCTGTGATCTGAACGGGATTTGTCTGGTTAAATAAAGATTAATAAATTCCTGCCATCCAGAGAGAGAAACAAAACATCATGAAGGACCAACATTCACCCGCAGGCCATCAGGATTTAAATTCATATTATTAGGGGCTATGTTTGACCATAATTTTACACAGTTTTAGTATTTTATTTCACATTTTAAACTATTTATCTGAATGAATGGTGTGCAGTCTGTTTGTTTTATTTATTTAATTAATGAGGATTGTTTCAGGGCAGCGCTTCAAATGTACATTAAATGTGAAACGACAATAAAGACTTTTATTCTGAAGCTCAAATGCTTCATCCTGAGTTTGTCTCATCGTGTTTGATAAATTAAAACCTGTTGTTTCTCCTCACTGTAAACAGGTCCGGGGTCATGGGGGTGCTAATAACCTTTTTTATTTTATTTTTATTCCATCGGCCTCTCTTCTCTGATCACAGAAACAAGACGACAGAAAGAAAAGCAGAATAAATGAACTCTTCGTATAAATTTAACGAACCGGATGATTTTTATGGATCACAGAGACTCTGAAATACAAATTATTGGGAGTTTGGATTTGAAGCGAACACATTTCTGTCGCCTCTGGCCTTTTTCACGTTTGAGAGCTCAACGACTTCCTGCTCTTTAAAGCTGAGCTGACGGTTCCGACATGGACATGCTCGTGCGCTGAAAGATAAACCAAAAGGACTTTGACTGGAATATGGACACCATTATGGACTCCAGGGGGTCATTCACCGGGAAAATATTCTGAAGATTAAGAGTTAGTAATTCAAGGTTCTTGCATATTTAATGTTGGGCCTAGAGCTGTTGAAGGAATGCATGTCACCCGCCACCTTTCACGCCAGCGTTTTAGACTGAGATCATCTTACGAGGATAAATGACTTTGAAAATCAAACCTTGAAAATCTCAACCAGTGACATGTGAGCTGCAAAGACTTCATGTCGAGGACATGTGCATTGTTTTCACCCAGCATGCTCCATAAATGTCACTGCTATTTTTCTGTTGTTGTGGATTATATTAAAATGTTGCATGGTCTTTACCGTTATGTGCCAAGCACATTGGTCTTATTGTTTTGTCCTTTCGGACAGGTTTTGAGTTGGTTAATCAGCCTTTAACTGTGTTGGGCTGTGGCCTTTTCCGCCCACCCTTAAACAGGCTGGTTTCAGGGAACTCGCCCTCGTTTTGGCCCTTCTGAGACACTGGTTTTCTCCTCTCCTTTATCCCTGAGCTGTGGTTTGCTGCCGGTGGTCCCAAACACCTGAGGTAATTTTTGTTAACTTCTTGTATGTGTTTTGTAGTAACTTTGGACTGGTGGGACTGGTAGCCCTGATTTCGTTCTCTCTTTTGTAATAGGTGGGGTTTTTTTTAGGGTTTTTGTAGGTTTAGTCAGGTATCAGCAGCGGCTTCGACGGCCCTGTATAGGGTTGGCCCGCTGCTGTACCTTTTGTTTGGTTTGACCAGCTCACCAGTTCCATCGTTAAGTTGTTACTTTGGATTTTTGTGTTTCTTGGGTGAACACGGGAACTGGGGTTCCTGGTTTTCTCCCTTCTTTTCAGGAAGCTGCACCAGGTTCTTTAATAAACTGAATGTTTGAACCCCTACTTGTGTCTCGTGTCCTCCTTTTAATGTGTTATGTTCATGGTGGACGCAGCACTTACTCTGTGTAACAATCAGTCTGCATGCGACCGGTCAGAAGAGATCATTTTATTATCTCAAGATGATCGATAAGATTACAGACACAGTTTTCTTACGAGAACCCTTGAGAGCTGTTGGCTCCCAGACTTCTCCCACTTCTGAATGCAGCTGGAATAAAGCTGGACAGGACTGGGAGGGGCTGGACGTTTCTACAAAACTGATTTTTTTTCTGTTCAGGAAATCAGAACGGGTCAGAACCTCCGACAGGTGAAGGCATTGATAAGAGTGAACTTTTAAAAGCACTGATCTTCTGTGATTTCTGGCTGTCTCCAAAACTTTGTAATAAATCAGATGAACTTACACCTGGTTGTTTTGGGAATCCCTTTTGTCCACGACAGATGACTCTCAGCTACGTTAGCTTAATATCTGTAAAACTGAGGCGCTGTAGCGATCACTTCCTGTAGGTTTTATTAAAATCCACCCAGTGGTTCTCCAGATATTTTGCTAACAAACAGAGTTGACTACACAAAAAGCAATCTATTCGTGCTCGTTATGTTTGTTGGGGATCAGTATCAGCTACTGCCACAGCAAATCTTAGGTCAAAGTCTGTAAGTCTGACTGAGTTGTAGTCGTTTGTGTTTTTCAAGGTCAGCTGGCTGTGGCAGCCATCTTGAATGTGGCAGACAGCTGCAGATGTTCATCCAGCGATTACTTTCCACTGGTTGCATTAGAATTGTCCGGTGGCTCATGAATCATTGTGCAAACACAAACACTCGAGCAGGGGTGGAAGTAATAGTTTCAAAGTAAATGTGCATTTATTTTGAAGTCCTCTGCAGGAAACAACCTGCTCCTGTCACAGTTCGTCTTTTTTCAAGTCACTAAATACCAAACCTGGACTACTGTCATCAAGGTGAAGATTCCAAGTCAGTATATGGAACGAAAGGCCTAATGGTCTGTGAGTATTTGGGATCAGTCAGAATGATCTTTGACCTTTCAGAAATCAAACAACCCATTTTCTTTGTTCTCCTCACCTGTGAGAAGGTCCACGTCTTCTGCTTCATGTTGGGCACCTTGTCACAGTTCAGGAGCTGCGGGAAGCTGCTGAGCTGATCGTCCACCACACAGCGAGTGTCCTCACCGGTGCTCCCCAGAGGACCCAGGAACAGCTGGCCCTCTTTAGTGAAGCGGCCCAGCTGCAGAGCAAACACACACAAGTGTCGGACGGAGCTGCGAGTCTGAGCAAGCTCTTTATGGTAAAAGGTCTGGAAGACAAAAATCTTCAGGCTTTCGCCACAGAACGATGATGAAGTGCACGTTGTGCGATGGCAGGAACTTCCTTTCATCATGTTCCAACAAGCGGACGTGTTGTTCATCAGGACACAGGAGCACAACAAGGTTTTCCTCTCAGCGGTGCAGCAGCTGCTCTGAGTGTTTCCTGTAAATCAGTGTAATCAGTGGAAATCACGGAGAACACAAAGGTTCATCTGCACAAATGAAATCTGGATGTTCTGCTTGAAACGCTCCAAAAGATGCAACAGTTCACATTCAGGCTCCCTTCGTTGGCTTTTGTTGCACTTTGTGAACAATATGTGAAATTTAGCGAAGCTCCAAAACTTTTCTGCTGCCCTGAAAGTTCCCGGGAGCTCAGTGACCTCCAGAAGTCTCAAATAGAAGAAGTTTGGTTCAACCAGGACTCTCCTGAGAGCTGGTGACCAGCTGGAAGACCAACAACCAGATGGTCACTGTGACTGAGCTGCAGAGGTCCTGGTGGGATTCCAGAAGGACAGCCAGATCTGCAGGACTCCATGGAGCTGAGTTTTATGGCCCAACAGAAACCTCTCCTCTGAATTCTGAGACTGGGAGGAAGACTGCCTGAATATACCTCCTGGATCCAGGATCAGTTCTTCAGTCACTACCCAGAGTTCATGACCATAGGTGAGGGTAGGAACGTAGACCGACCAGTAAACAGAGAGCTTCTCCTTACAACTCAGCTTCCTCTTCACCATAACGGACCGGCACAGAGTCCACAATACTGCAGATGCTGCACCAATCCATCTGTCAATCTCGCGCTAAAAATCCAACATGTGGTCTTCAAAAAAACCTGATACTTCAGGAAACCCGCAAAACTACAAACTACCAGTTATTTAAATCATCAGTGGGATGAGTGGAGAGTCTGCAGACTCCTGCGTTTCACCGCGAGCTGAAAGCAGACGAGCTGAAAGCAGACGAGCTGAAAGCAGGCGAGCTGAAAGCAGGCGAGCTGAAAGCAGGCGAGCTGAAAGCAGACGAGCTGAAAGCAGGCGAGCTGAAAGCAGGCGAGCTGAAAGCAGGCGAGCTGAAAGCAGACGAGCTGAAAGCAGACGAGCTGAAAGCAGGCGAGCTGAAAGCAGGCGAGCTGAAAGCAGACGAGCTGAAAGCAGACGAGCTGAAAGCAGACGAGCTGAGGGGCCGAAGGAGCTGAGGGGTTGACGCTCGCTGACTCGGCGCTTTAGTGTGAAAAAACTTGAAACTCAAACATTTTTATTTTGACAGCAGAGTTTTCTCCTCAGAGACTTCCAGCTGAACTGGAGAGAAACGCAACAAAATCCATCAGATCCACGGAGGAACACTGACGAGGTGTGTTTTCAGGAAAAACAACAAAAGACAAAGATGAGAAAACTAAGACGAAGAACAAAAGAGACAAAAAAAAAAGGCTAAGAAGAGGATGAAGAGGATGAAGAAGCCAAAGATGAAGAGGTTCTTGTGGAGTGTGTAGTTTTACCTGAGGCCCCCAGCCGTGGCACGGGTGCAGGGTGGCCGTGTGGTTCTCCTTCATGCCCTGATCCAAACACAAGTGGCTCACTTTAGAGTTCCGGACCTGAAATCAAACGTTTGTTTACCAGAACTTAGAAACGTCCGAATGATTAAATGTCCAAACATGTTGCATTAAAATGTTTAATCTCTGAGTCATCGTTCACACCAGGGGCTTCTGGTTTTTATTGTTCTGGAGGTTCTTGGTAATTAAATTACTTCTGCATGCTGTTTGTTTTTTAGCTGTTCGTATATCAAAATGTTCAGCTCATTTAGCTCTTTGGACTTTTATACTTTACAAAATATTTCACTTTATTCTGCCAGTTCCTTTAAAAACTGTTTGTTTTCAAACGTGCTTCAGCAAACTGGCTCTGCATTTGTCTTCTTGTGATACTTTTTTATATATTTTTAGCTAATCTTTTGTTGCTTTTAGCTAATCTTTTGTTGCTTTTAGCTAATCTTTTGTTGCTTTTAGCTAATCTTTTG